CTAAACCCCTAAACCCTCAAGCCCTGCGGGCCTTCAGGGCAGCGAAAGCAGAGACGTGGGCCGTGATCTCCACGACGCCTGACCTCGGAATGAAAAAAATAAAACGGGCCCTTGGGTATAGTTTAGTATGCTTATAGTGAGGGTTTAGGGTTTAGGAACTCAAAGGAATATCGATATTTATTCGAGCTTCTAGTTAGGTTGAGTTTAGTTTAGGGTTTGAGGCTACAAGCAAAGGGCTTTGGGTTATCTGGGATGACCAATGTACTCAGTTCTGCGAAACCTAGTGGTAAATGTGGTAAAACACCACGCTGCAGACCTAAATGTTGGAACGGGGCCCGAGCATGCAAGATCTGAGAACTGTGGGGTTGGAGAGGTTGTATTGTAACATATTATTTTGTTTTCTCTATTTTGTTATGTAGTATCTCTATTTTGTTATATAGTATCTCTATTTTGTTTTATTGTATTTCTGTTTTGTTATATAGTAACACACTGTTTTATTGAGGGAGAGGGCTGTGGAAGCTAGCCTCTGCGCCCTTCCATCGCTGCGAGTGTACAGGAAACTGTAAACAAGTTGACACCTGTAACCCTAAACCCTAAATTCTAAAATTGAGTCTTCCTTGGTCGTTGAGACCCGCCAGCCTTCAAACCGCATGTTCCAGCGGGAAACCGTCTCACTCCATTCCGATTTAGGGTTTCGAGTTTTGGGTTCGGAACAGCAAAAGGAATGCCAGCATAGACGACAACCCAGGAATAGTTCGCTAAGTTGGGTCGCTTTTAGGGTCCTTTGTAAGAGTGCCGTACTATGTTTGAGACCAGAAAAGGGACCCTAATTTAGAAAACTCCCCGTATGCCTGATATTGCCAAGTCCGCTGCTGCAGCTCTTCGCCGCTCTCAACGACGTCGTCTCCTGCTGGGCGTTGGATTTTCTGAGGCTCCATGCCCCCACGTAGTATATGCTCAGGCCTTAAAATATCTCTTTTGGTACCCCTTTAAGGCCTAAGTATATACTAATTCTATGGGTACGTGGAGCCTTATACTTATATACCCCAAATATCGCCAAGCCCTTATAGCACCCCTTAAAGGAACCCTAAACCAAAAACCCTAAACCTTAGACCCCTTTAAAGGACCCCATATATGGTACCATCTATGGGTGCTTAGGACCCTAAACCCTAAACCCTAAACCCTAAACCGAAATTTTGCGGTTCAGACGGAGACCCCAAGCTTTTCACGCCAAACTCCCAAGACCTACATCTTCCTAACCTGGAGCCGAATTTAGGGTTAGGGTTTAGGGTTTAGGGTTTAGGGTTTAGGGTTTAGGGTTTAGGGTTTAGGGCTTAGGGCTTAGGGTCTATAGGATTTTCGGGTTTAGGGGTTTAGGGTTTCGGGTCTAGAATTTGAGGGTTTAGGGTTTAGGGTTCAGAATTGGCAGATGACCACAGCACTTAAAATCACACAGTAGGATCGAGTTCTGGGACTCTAAAGCCCTATTAAGCAGTAAGGCCCTCGGCTCTGAAGATGCCTCCGGCGCTAAACTCACCACGGCACCACACCTGGTGCTGCCTGGAGCCTTCCTCGACGCAGCGCTTCCATGGACGGGTGCCTTCTTGCCATGCCCGGTGGGCCAGGCACAATGCCGATCTGCGGTGCGACTTGTAGCCGGCCTGTGTCGGAGCAATCCACGACATGCACCGTCTGCATTGAAACATGCGGTTTTGGCGGTTGCGCGGCGGGCGCCGCCGCTTCTCAGCGGCCACAACCTCCGCCTCCTTCCTTTCCCCGTCCGCTTGGGCACGTAGGGAGGTTCATCCGAGTTTAAGGTTAGGATTTAGGGTTTAGGGACCCTAAACCCTAAAGTTTAGGATTTAGGGTTTAGGGCCTTCAGCCTCAAAGCCCCCAAAACTCGGAGGGGTTCCTGAAACCCTCTGAACCTCCCACGGACCTCAAAAGCCCGTACTACAGGGGCCTTAATAACTAGAATGGGGTGCTAATTGGGCCCCATAATATACTGTAATTAGAATCAGGAATAGCTAGAATAGGGTGTTAATTGGGGCCCATTGTGCTACATAATTATAGTCAGGAACAACCAAAATAGTCTTGGTAATCATCTTGGCCCCTACATTAAGACACAAACCCAAAGCCTACGTCCTGCAAAAGCCCTTGCAACCCCAAACCTGTCACCGTCCCGCACTAAACAACAAAAGCGACCTCCAGCAAATGCCTTTGAATCCGCTGTTAAGGGTTTAGGGTTTAGAACAATCAAGAAACTCCAAAACCCTAAACCCTAATTCAAAACCCTAAACCCTAGACCCCAAACCCCAAACCCTAAACCCGAAACCCTATACCCTAAACCCCTAAACCCTAAGCCCCAAACCCTAAAACCCGAAACCCCAAAAACCCCTAAACCCCTAAACCCTAAAACCCTAAAGCCTTGAGGGGCGCCTGGCTTCGGATCGCGGCCCCAGGTCGTCACCGAGCCCGCGCAGAGCGTGGCAAAGCTTCCGGAAGTCGCGGCCAGCTCCTCGGGCTTCCGGGGCTCTAAGGTTTTAGGGTTTAGGGTTTAGGGTTTAGGGTCTGTAGGATTTTCGGGTTTAGGGTTTAGGTTTTAGGGCCCCAGGGCTCTAAGGTTTTAGGTTTTTTTTTGTTAAGTGCAATGGCGGTTTAGGTCTGTATACGGTTGTAGACCTTAGGGTTTCAGGGCTTGGGCTGAAGCGTTTAGGGTTTAGGGGTTTCGGGCTTAAGGTTTAGACCTTATCGGGCTGTAGGGTTTAGGGGTCCAGGGTCTGGGGTTTAGTGTTTAGGTTAGGGTTTAGGGTTTAGGGTTTAGGGTTTAGGGTTTAGGGTTTAGGGTTTAGGGTTTAGGGTTTAGGGTTTTGGGGTTCAGTGTTTTGGTTAGGTCCTCCCGGAAGGGTTTAGGGATTTTGGGATGTGGGCTTTGTTTGGATTTGAAGGCTAGGCTTGGGACTGAGGGTGTAGGCTTGGGGTTGGATTTCGGATTTCGAGTCTAGGCTGGAGTTTTAAGGTTTATAGGGCTTGTAATGGGTGTGGAGCACAGCGGCAGCCGAAGGATATACTTTTGGGGTACATGGACCCTGAGGCATTTTCATACGTGAAACTCCCCCTGCAGTTGCAAGAGATAGGTGTTCTGCATTACTAGTAGGGCTCAGACCTTCAGAGGGTGGCGCTTGAGAGCTTTTCAGTCACGATCTTGCCTGCTGCGATTGTTTCTGAAACTACGGAGCTCTAGTGAACGAGATACGAATTAAAGCCTACAGTAACCCTGGTGGCGAAAGTTCGCTGGAGCAGCCCTGGTATTGAACAGGTCCGGAACGGGCATCTGCGGGGCGACCAGCACATCTCCACATCGCAAGCCTGAAGAAAACGGCTCTGATAGAGCCCCGTATTCTCCCCGAACTTCCCCAAAGGCTCCATGTACCTTTATAGTAGATACTTAGGCCTTAAAGGGGTCTCTATCTTGGTACTTTAAGGCTTAAGTATCTACAACCCTAAACCCTAAACCCTAAACCCTAAACCCTAAACCCTATATGGGTACATGAAGCCTCAGGGTTCCCAATACCCAAACAGTAGATACTATGACCTTAAAGTAGATCCTGGAAACGTACTTCCAGGCCAAACCCGAAGGGTCCTATGTGCTGTTATGGGGTTTAGGGTTTAGGGTTTAGGCTTTAGGCTTTAGGTCCTATGTGCTGTTATGGGGGATACTTCCCAAAATCATAATAGTAATTCCTGATATAGAAACCCTATATTCTACTATGTAGGTACATTGGACCCTTTGGGAAAGTATATACTATATGGGAACACGGACCCGCGGGGCAACTTCCCTAACCAAGGAATGTTCTTGCAAATCGAAGTATGTTTTAAGAAGCACTCCATAATTCTAGGAAGGTTCTATTATACAAAGGGTCCCAAGTATCTATATGGGGGATACATACCTAAACCATAACCGTAGGGGCTAAGTACCCTAGCCCCAAAAAAGTTAACCTTTTGAGTTATAGTAAGATTATCAAAGCCCCGAAGAGTTAAAGGTTACCCACCCAGCCCCTAAACCCTAAACCCTAAACCTTGAACCCTGAACCCTAGACCTTAAGCCCTACACCCTAAACCCTAAACCTTAAAGCCTAAACCCTACACCGTCAACCCTAAACCCCAAACCCTAGACCTTAAAGCCTTAAAGCCTAAGCCCTCTGGTTTCGGGTTGAGCCTTCGGGCTTCCCGGTCTGGTTGCGGGTACTTGCAGGGAACTCCAAAGGGTTGAAGCATGTATTTAGGGTTTAGGGTTTAGGATTTAGGGTTTAGGGTTTAGTTAGGGCTTTTAGGGTTTAGGGTTCGATGTCTGCGCCCTGTTGCAGTTTGGGGTGCAGAATAACCGCTACACCGCTGTATCTGCAGGTCGGGTCAGCAGAGACGAGGAACATCCAGCCTTCAGTGACCCACCTTGTCTGGCCTTTGCCCAGTCCCCAGTGAACTTCTTGAAGGATGATCACCTCCTCCCGCGTTGTAGGTCATGACCCTGAGCCGGGTAGGCTCCTCGTGTTGCAGGTTCGGCTCGATGGTCCTAGGGGTGATTTGATGGCCACCTTCACGTCCAGCTCCCAGGGAGCGAGCGCTGTGCCAGACCGCTTTGTACCATGCACCTCCCTGCTGCTAGCTCTGTCTATACATGTGTATGTGGGGGCTCATACATACGTATGTACATGTTCGTTAGTCTAGGAAGTTCCAAAACGTTAGATCATCAGCCTCATGTCCTCAAGATACAGTGTCTGAACACCAGCTATTCTTAGCTATGGTCTCTGTTGTAGTTCCCTTGATGTTTCAGGAAAGTCTTATCTAGGGTCCTACAAGGCAGCCCCCTAATCCCTATTACCGGCGCAGTACAAACCCTAAACTTCCTAAACCCTAACTCCTGAACCCTCAACCCTAAACCCTAACCCTCAACCTGCCTGAACCCGAAACCCTCGGCCCGAAACCCTAAAACCCTATACCCCTATACCCCTAAACCCTATAACCTAAACCCTAAACCCTAAATTCTATAACCGAAACCCTAAACCCTAAATCCCCAAACCCCAAACCCCAAAACCCCCCGACCCCTAAATCCCGAAACCCTAACCCCGAAGCCTGCGCGCCGCAGGCTCAGCCCCGGCCGCAGAGGCCGCGCTCCGCGGGGCGAAATCAGCTGAGATCTCGGAGTCTTAGCTTTGAGTGCTTTCGGGTTCTAACTCGGGCCCAGGTTGGGTTTAGGGTTGAGAGTTTTAGGGTTTTAGGGTTTAGGGTTTAGGGGTTTAGGGGTTTGAGGGTCCTTTTCTCTTCCATTATGTAATTAGGTCCGAAAAGACCATCCCTGCTATGGTTTTGGGGACCTAGTTCCATAAGAGTAGTATATCTGAACCCTAAACCCCAAACCATTTTTTGTATATATGGAGCCTCTTGGATGTTGAGTCACCCTAGCCCCTAGCCCCTAAACCCTAAACCCTAAACCCTAAACCCTAGCGACTTGGGGGTTGGTTTTGTAGATCTTGGAACATCTGTGACTGATAAGCTGGGGAAAGAATCTTTTGGGGCTTAAAGGGTTTAGAGTCTATAGGGTTTAGGGTTTAAGGTTTAGGTTTTGGGGCTTATGGGGTTTAGGGTTTATGGGGCTTAGGGCTTATAGGGTTGCGTCTGGGGACAAGATTTGAAGATTCTGCTCGGGGATCAAAACTTAGGCCGCTTGTGCTGGGTTTCCTGGGTAGGCCAAGCGTGTACGCGTTTGGGGCCTGCACGGTCGGTCGATGCATTCGAACCCCAAACCCTAAACCGGAAGGAAGGGCTTAAGGAGTTCATGATGTTGGAGTTTGTGCTGGTGGTTGCAAGTTCATGGGAAAGGGAAAGAGCATGGCGGCTAAGGTTCAAGGCTTCGGGCTCTTGTGCTCTCTAAGGGGATGCTATTGCATGTTTTGCAAAACTTGTGCGTAACCCTAAACCCTAAACTTTAAACGCAAAACTCCGCGCACGAAGTCTCCAACTGACAAACAGGTTTAGGGTGTAGAGGTTTAGGTGGTAAGGGCTTAGGATCTAAGGGTTTAGGGTTTAGACCTTTAGGGCTTAGGGGCTTAGGTAAGGGCTTAGGATTTAAGGGTTTAGGCCTTTGGGGTTTATAAAGGAGAAAGGGAACCCACGAACTGAGAGCCCAGCACTTTGTCTCGATCGCGAGGGAGTATGGCCGTCTTCGTGATGCGAAGCAGCGCAGGCAGGTCCTCGGGGCTTGGGATCGGACTTGCCCCTCGCCAAACACAAACTTGCGCAGGAGCACGCAGGTGTATATACATATATATATATATGTGTATACATACAACTATATATGCTATCGTAATGATTTGTTTTTTTATGGCTTTTGAATATTTCTTTCCTTATACCTGTATACGTGTGTATATATATATATATATGTGTGTGTATGTATATTATCAAGGAAATTTTCAAAAGGAACCCCCCAAACAAAAACAAACAGCTTTTTTGATGGTTGGGCTCAGGTTTCCACAGCTGCAAAGTGGATAACCTGGCTTCCGCTTAGGGTCCCATGCTAGCACTTGACGCGGTTATAGGGTCGGGTTTAGTGCCTAGGGTTTAGGGCTTATGGGGTTTAGGGTTTAGGGTTCAGCAGTTTTGGGAAAACAACCACAAAGACAAACGTGTGATTACAGTTAGGGCGGCAGCGGCTGTTGAAACGCAGTGTGGCCAGTCACGCTCTGATTGCATCTCTCACGAAATATGGGCTTAAACTGCCAAGCCAGATTCGGTTTCTACATAATGTCTGGGCCCCTGGAACCCTAAACCCTTATACTAAGATCTACCAGAATGAGTAGATTACAATATACTTTAATATACCAAGATATAAGAAACTACTAGACTACAATTTACCATAATAAACCAGGGCCCTAAACCCATAAGAAGGTCCAGAAATCCTGATCATGACGTGATTTCAAGATTGGGGCTCGAGGGTTCCTTCATTGGACCTTGATTGATTGCAACCTTAGGCTCGCAATTTGTGAACCTTTGGATTTAGGGCCTCTACCCATAGTACTTCCTTTTTGTGGCTTCTAGTTAAGATCCCATTAGGTAATCCCAAAAAGGAACTACTAAGGGGCCTATGGGTAGGTTTGGAGTTTTGGATTAGAGTTTGTGAGGTTCCAGTATCCGAAAGCAATGGACACCTAAAGATTGTCTTTATGGACGGATGGTCGGCGAGAAGCTTGCCCGGAACCGTGCTGCCACAGTCTGCTGCAGCAGCCCCCTAGACCCGAAACCCCGAAACCCTGAACCCTAACACCCTAGAGTGAGCACATCTAGAAGCCCAAACCGACACGAGTCCTCTTGCTGATCTACCGAGATCTGGACCACGGCCAGCCCTGCCGAAGAGGATGAGGTTTGAGGGGCTTCTTAAGATGCCTAATGTAGTGGCCTAAATAATTACCAATACTATTCTGGGGAGGTTCCTTATTATATTTACAGTAAAGGAAACCGCAAAATAGTATTAGCAATTGTTTAGGCCCCTGCATTAGAGGTTCAAGGTTTGGAATCAAGTACTTCTGGTTACGAGCCCGGCAAACGCACGCAAAAGCCAACTCAAGAAAGACCTGCAAGACGGACACATGCATGACCTTATACACCGGGGAAGAACTTCCAGCCCATACTTGAGGACACGATTTCTCACCTGTCCGGCCTGGCAAGTTGACTTGCAGATCGATGATGGGGTCGAGACCACAGCTTGCACTCATCCCGGTCGCATCCACAGAAAAGTTGCGTGGAATGCAGTCAGGGGCACATGCTCGATGCTTCTCAGTTCCGAGAAGACGCGAGGTAGCTGTGAAGTTTGGGTTGCAGACTGCCTTGAGAATGATAAAGCTCTAGCCAGTCTCCAGGTTTAGGGTTTAGGGTTTAGGATGTAGAGTTTAGGGTTTAGGGGTTACGGTTAGGGTTTGGGGTGGTTTAGGGTTTAGGGAAATCCTAAAATTCTTGTGGTGGCACTCAGGTCAGAAACGACATTGCTTCGATAGACGGCTGTGGTGAAATTGCGACTGCAGATGCACAACTGTGCCGGCGCACTTCAAGGAGGAATCGTAGTCGGGCCTTCTTGAACCAGGTGATGCGTTCTTCCACGACATCCCCCAAAAGCGACGACATACGCTCACAATCGCTCATCAAGAGATCAATCCCTGATCCGGAAGTGCTTTCCGGCCCCCCCCCCCAAAAGGAGAAGAACTTTATGCAGAAAGTGGTGCAGTACCTGTCACAGCAGTATAGCCCGCATGGGTCGACCCAGTACAAGGGTCTTACGCTTGGGGGTTCATGGCTTCAGGAGTTTTGAGGTTTTGACGGCTTTTTTTGTGCGGATACCTGACTTGGTCACATACTTCGTACCTGTACCTAATTACCGGATATGCGGACTATCAGGTGTGGCTGGGATTACAGGTACAGGGGATTCCAAAGTGGAAGACGACAAGATGACTGCTCTTACTACAGATGCAGCGAAGCAGAGTTTGGAGTGTACCAGTGACAGGAGTGTAGATAGGTGAGGGTTTAAGGTTTAGGGTTTAGGATTTAGAGTTTAGGGTGACATCTTTTGGTCTCTCAAAGGCATATGGCAAAGTGGGATGCCCATCGCACGGCAGCATTCATACATGCAGCTGCTCGGTGCTGCCTCGAACACGGGTTTAGGGTTTAGGGATTCCACTTAGTCACTTTGGGGCAAAGACACCCCTGCATGAAGGATACCGCTTAGTCGGAACTGTATGCCCCTAAACCCTAAACCCTAAACCCTGAACCCTAAACCCTAAACCCCGAACCCTGATGTTTGGATTGTTTGGCCCGAGGTCCCTCTTGCAAACGAACCCCAAACACAACCCTCGCCTCACCTTGTTGCGAACCTTATATATAATTTCTAGACCAGCCCAAGTCAAACATGCGAAGGGCTGAACTGCCGACTGTGCTGGGTCGGGGACTCATAGATTCGCAGGCATGCTGTACCGATGTCACTGGTGTCCCAGCTGCATTGGCCGCGTCTTGGGCATCCTGGTTTGTCACTACGTGATGCATGTACTCGTCGGAACTCGCTTCTACATGAGCCTCTGCAAGCATGGACGGCGACCTGCCTCCCGTGCATGCTAAACCCTAAACCCTAAACCCTACACCCTAAACCCTAAACCCTAAACCCTAAACCCTAAACCCTAAACCCTAAACGTTAAGGTACAGGGGCTCATGAAGCCAGCGAGCTCGGGCTGGATTTCATGTTGGCGACGGGGCCATACCCCTTGGAAGGGACACGACACGTGGTGCCTAAACTGGCAAAGTATCTCCCTGACCTCCCAGGTACCTACTATATAGGGTACTAGAGCCCTGGGGCTCCAAAAAGCCCAAACTAGGTACTATTTACAGTGAATTTACAGACTTTAGACCCCAAAGTAGGTTCTATTTGTATACTTGGAGCCCCAGGGGAGCCCCTGAGGCCCTATATAGCAGGTACCTTGAGGGTTAGGGTCTGCACTGGCCTATGAAATCCAGAAACCGGTCTTTGCAACGCGTTGCGCGGATTGGTGAGAAAAGCGGTGAAACATGCTGATGGTTTCTCCAAGGTAGAGAGCAGGACACCCTCCAGATTTTTCAAGCACCGCAAGTCTTGGACTCTTTTTCAGGGATCTGGGAAATAATCCTAAGCCCTAAACCCTAAACCCCAAACACGGACTTTAGAAGGTCCTATCAACGTGTTGAGGGTTGTAGGGACCGCCCACAGTGAGTCTTTTGGCAAAGCAGTCTTATGACTGTTAAGCTCCAGTTACCCTAGGGCTCCAAGTATACAAATAGAACCTACTTTGGGGTCTAAAGTCTGTAAATACGGTTGATGGACAAAATCCTGCATGACCTTATATACCTAAACTATGGGATTCATGGTACTATACTATGTTTGGGTCATGCAGGATTTTGTAAATCAACAGTAGTACCTAGTTTGGGCTTTTTGGAGCCCCAGGGTTAGGACCCTGTATGGAGCATTATGGCTTCATTGAAACGTGCAGCTTGACAGCATGATCTCGGGAGCTGAAGTTTAAAGTTGAGGGATTTTAGGGTTTGGGCTTTTAGGGTTTTTTGGTTTTAGGGTGTGCGCTTTAGGGTTTGAGGTTTGGGGGGTTGGGGAATCCCGAACTTATGACAGCCTTTATTCCGCTATTCCCTTACACCTGGCACCGTGGTCCTCAACGCCTCATCCTTGTGATGGTGAAGGAAGCTCACTTGTGTGCCCGGAAGTGAGTATGCGGAACTCGTCCTGCGCGTGTAGACAAAACATCGGTTGAGGATAGGCTGAACAACTGAAAGGCTCAAAGCCAACGAGTTGGCTACGTATAAAGGGGAGAGTTCGCTCTCTTCAGCTGAACACCGCTTGACTCTTGTCAAATCATTGAAATTTAAACCCTAAACCCCTAAACCCTAAACCCCTTAATCCCTAAACCCTAAACTACCTAAACCCTAAACCCTAAATTCGGGATTGTTGGTTTCGAGAGCTTAGGAGATTCAGGGTTCAAAGCTCAAGGTTGTCTTGCGACTCTGCAGCTACTGTACATGTGGGTAGTTCTCTAACACAGGGTCCGTTTTAGCGCCTTTTTTTTTGTAAGGGTGCCGTACTATGTTGTGGGACCTAAAAAGGGATACTAATTTAGATAACTACCCATGTGCATGTAAGTGTCGGCAAAGGTATGACGTTGCTATGCTGGCTGCCTTCTCAACTTATATGACCCTGTAAGGCTGAAAACGTCTTTCAGACGTTGAGCTCTTGAAGCCTCTGCGGACTAGAGCACGAAGATGTGTTTTGAAACTACCGAGATATGATCCGCAGCTGTTGCACTAAATTCCCGAAGATATATGAGCGTACAGGTCCAAGCGCTCCCTTTTGTTTACGAGGCTCTGCATCCTTTTGTGTACAGGTAGTGACTACATGAACCCACGGCCGTCTTGAGGGCTCCACGTTCTGTAGGTGCTTCGGAACTGACAGCACTGGATGAATAGTCTAAGTTAACCATGTTAAAGGAAACTACAGGTGGGGAGTTTAGGGTATATAGGGCTTCTGCACGGCTTCTATAAGGTATATAGACCTTCCATGAGGCTCCTATTACGGGAACTACCCATCTGAACATGTCCTAGACCATGGGTTGAACACGGTAAACTCTACACTAGACCCAAGACCCCGAAATCCAAATCGCAAGCCCAAAGCCCATCTAAAGACTGAAACGAAGCAAGCCTAACTTAAAGGATCATGGGACTTAGTAACTAAGGTCATGATGAGGATAACTATATTTATGACTCCTTATAACCCCAAGTAAGGTACTTAAAACCATACTTACTAAGTCCCATGATCCTCCAAGTAATAAACCCTAAACCCTAAACCCTAAAACCCTAAAGCCCTAAAACCCTAAACCCTAAACCCCCTAAACCCCTAAACACCCCTGATCCGGATCCAGACCTTCCACTGTTCCGTAATGAAGGAAGGTACCTCAAATTGTACTCGGAACCCTGATTTAAGGTGTCTTCCTTGGTAAGGGAACCCTAAACCCTAAAACTCTATGTAAACCCCATAAGCCCTATAAACCCTATAAGCCCTATAAACCCTATAAGCCCTGTAAACCCTATAAACCCTAAAACCCTATAAACCCTAAACCACCATAAACCCTAAAACCCTATAACCCCTATAAGCCCTATAAGCCCTATAAACCCTTAAAAAAAAAACGAAAATCCCTGAAAACCCATAAACCCCATAAGCCGTAAACTTTAGGCCCCTGAACCCTATAAAACCCTCAAAAGCCCCGTGAGCCCTATAAACCCTAAAAGCCCTACAGACCCTAAACCTTGAAACCCTAAAAGGGAGGTCGATCGTCGAACCGTGGAGCTGAACAAACACCCTCATTCGGCAGAAGAACCTGGGACTCTAAACCCTAAACCCTAAACCCTAAACTCTAATTACCTACAGTTTTATGGTTCAGGGTTTATAGGGTTTATACGGCTTATAGGGTTTGGGGTTTATTCGGTCTAGGGTTTATAGGGCTGGTAGGGTTTAGGGCTTTGGGCTTTGGGCTTAGGGTTTATAGGGCTTATAGGGCTTATAGGGTTTTAAGGTTTAGGGTCTAGGGTTTAGGGCTTATAGGGTTTAGGGTTCAGGGTTTATAGGGTTTATAGGGCTGATAGGGCTTATCGGGCTTATAGGGTTTAGGGTTTTGGGTCTAGGGTTTACGGTTTGTAGGGTTTAGGGCTGCTAAGCTGTAGGGTAAAGACAGTTTCAAGAAGGGATCCTTGACGCCGGGATCACATCGGGCGAGGGCCGTGAAGCCATCCTGTTTCGTATGTTTCGGTGGTAGGCGTATGGCGAGAAGGTTTTGCTTAGGTTGAGGGTTTAGGGTTCAGGGTTTAGGGTTTAGGGCTTAGGGTTCAGGGGTCTAGGTTCAGGATTTAGGATGACAAGGCTTCTGGCACAGTCGTGGAGGTTTCGGTTCAGGGTGTCTTTCTGCGGCTTGTCCTCCTTTTCGTGATGTCAAACCACGACGGTCTGCAAGAACTGCAATGTTTCTCAATCCCCACACCACATGCTAGTGCACATAACTTCGGCGTTCAGGTTCAGGTTCAGGGCGGCTTTGGTTGCTCCATCGAGCTGGACAGCTACCATCCTTACCAGGTTGGCGATTGAACCGCCGTCAGCAGACTCAATAATACTATGGTCACTATGGTCGCGGGTTTCGGGTTTACCTGGGCCCTAAACAACATACCTTTTTCGGGACTTACACAAGAAAATGAATATAGGGCAACCCCCCAAAAGGTAGAGCCTAGAAAGCCTACCTGTTAGGACCCTGAT